AATTACGATTGAACGTGTATTGGGATTTAGTAATCTTTTACTGTATAATCCTTCTTCTGTAGGTAGTTCCAAGGATTCATGAAGGAAATATTTCCAAACAAGATGAAACAGTGATGACAGACTTAAGCATTCTGCCTTCCTCTAATTTCACACTCAAGATCCCTCTTGAAGAAAGTGCTGAGAGTTCTAACTTCATTGGCTATGTACTAGCAAATGTTCTACAGCATTTTAAGGAACATTTTAAAACTTGGTAAGTAGAGTGGCTGGTTAGGAATGCCTTGTTGACAGGAATAGTTAATTCTCAAAAGGGAAAAACAAAACTTGTTTGAAAATACCTGGAAAATATGTTTAACCTCATTAATAAAGACATGAAAACAAACAAGATGGCATTTTCTGCCTATCAAATTTGCAAATTAAAAAACCCCCGGGAAATCCTGATAGGAATGTGATGAAATGGGGATTCTCATATATCATGTATTAGTGGGAACATACATTGGTTTTGCCTTTTTGAAAGCTATTTGATTATGCATATGAAGAGCCATAAAATTTCTTTTTGATATGATAATTACACTTCTGAAATCAATCCTAAGGAATAAATCTAAATTTGATGAAAAGTTCTCCCTCCAAGATCTACATTTACAAAATTATTTAAAATATTAAAAATGTTACACATTATCTTAATGTGTAAAAATGGGACAGTGGTTAAATAGATTATGGCTAAATACATTCAATACATTTTATGAAATGTTAAAAATATTCAAAAAATTTAAATAATGACTTGCTAACTACTTTAACAAGAGCTTTAATATAAGCCAGTCTTGGAGGTAATATTATTATCATCATTTTACAGAAAAAGATCCTGAGGCTCAACGTCCAAGGTCCAATGAACTACTCAGGTCGGAGGTGGTAGAGCAGAATGTGGAGCCAGGTCTCTCTGACTCCTTCATCACACTGTACTACTTCCTGTTAAGATATTTGCTCAAAACATGCAAGATATAAAAATCTGGGTAATATGATCAATCTTAAAGAATAATTACATTTTAAGTTACTCGTAAGGGACCTTGTTAGTAGGTCACCATCAATGTGTAATTAACCCAGATGTGACAGGATTTGCTGCCTCTCCCTTTACTTCTGAATTCTGGAGGCCTTTTTTTTTTTTGGTTGTATCAGTCAAACGACCAACATCTTTTTAGCATCTACTAAGTTTAGATACGGGAACTAGGTACTGTGAAAGAGAAAATGAAAAATTTGACAAGATCCTGTCCCCAAGGAGCTTCCTATCCAACAGGGAGCACAAGACAGATAGACAGACATACACACAACTATAAAGCAAGGCAGGATTTAGAGAGTTCACAGGAGCAGGCTCTGGGAGTTCGGGGGAGGGCCGTTCACGTTCTGGTAGGGAAGAAACTTCTGAGCTGGATATATTCCCTTTCTCACCGTCCTTCTATCCCCTCTCTTCTTCTCCTTTCCTCTTTCCTCTTCCTCCTCCCACTCTCTCCTCTCCCTTTCTTTCCTTTTTTTCCTTTTTTTTCTTTTTCTTTTTTTTTTTTTTTGAGACAGAGTCTTGTTCTGTCGCCCAGACTGGAGTACAGTGGCATGATCTCGGCTCACTGCAACCTTGGCCTCCTGGGTTCAAATGATTCTTGTGCCTCAGTCTTCTGAGTAGCTGGGATTACAGGTGCACACCATCACACCTGGCTAATTTTTGTATTTTTTAGTAGAAACAGGGTTTCACCATGTTGGCCAGGCTGGTCTCGAACTCCTGACCTTAAGTAATCCACCCACCTTGGCCTCCCAAAGTGCTGGGATTACAGGCATGAGCCACCATGCCCAACCTCCTCTCCCTTTTCTTTTCTTTTCTTTTTTTTTTTTGAGACAGAGTTTAGCTCTTGTTGCCTAGGCTGGAGTGCAGTGGTGTGATCTCAGCTCACTGCCACCTCTGCCTGCCGGGTTCAAGCAATTCTCCTGCCTCAGCCTCCCGAGTAGCTGGGATTACAGGTGCCCCCCCCCCCCCCCGGCTAATTTTTTTTTTTTTTTTTTCTTTTTGAGACGGAGTCTCGCTCTGTCGCCCAGGCTGGAGTGCAGTGGCCGGATCTCAGCTCACTGCAAGCGCCGCCTCCCGGGTTTACACCATTCTCCTGCCTCAGCCTCCCGAGTAGCTGGGACTACAGGCGCCCGCCACCTCGCCTGGCTAGTTTTTTTTGTATTTTTTAGTAGAGACGGGGGTTTCACCGTGTTAGCCAGGATAGTCTCGATCTCCTGACCTCGTGATCCGCCCATCTCGGCCTCCCAAAGTGCTGGGATTACAGGCTTGAGCCACCGCGCCCGGCCCACACCCGGCTAATTTTTTGTATTTTTTGTAGAGACGGGGTTTTGCCATGTTGGGCAGACTGGTCTGGAACTCCTGACCTTAGGTGATCCGCCTGCCTCAGCCTCCCAAAGTGCTGGAATTACAGGCATGAGCCACCACACCCTGCCATCCTCTCCCTTTCTTAAAAATACATCAATTAATTAAATAGATAAATGTAGATACACACACAGGCAGCATCAAAGTGTATAGGTTGGAGAGGAGACCATTCCAAAAAGGGGGACGGCATGGGCAAATACAGCAAGAAAGAGTAGAACATCTAGGTACTGGGGGCGCTGGGAAGTCCTGCTAAACTGGTCCGCTCACACCGTGGGGCCTTTAAGCTTCCCTGTGTCAGGGCACCTCCCCTCTGTGAGTCTGGGTTCCTTCTTTGGTTGCAGGCAACCAAGACCAGCTCAGCTGAAAGAAATGGAAGGATGCTGACTCACGAATCAGAGGGGACGCTGGACGACTATGCCCAGAGCCAGGCAGAAACGGGTCGGGTCCAGAGTCTGGGAGGAGGAAACCCATGGACAGTTGCTTCAGGGCCCAGCGCTCACAGTGAAGCAGCTGCAATTGTTTTTAGTCCTCAGATCACTCTGCTCAAGATGTGACTTGCCAGGAGGAATCTGGCTGGCCCAGCTGGGACATGTGTGTCCACCTCTAGGCCAGGAGAGAGGAGAGTCTTGGTTGACAATCCCCATGTCTACCTCTTTGTCTAGGTTACTGTGTCATCAACAGATCTCAGTTCAAAAAGTCACTTGTTCAGGGGCAATATACCCTCTTCTACCCATAAACTAGGGGCAACATGCCCTCCCTCCCCTTTCATACATGACCATAACACCATGCAGCACTCAGCTCTTGTAAGTTGACATTTACCCACGTGGCTCTTTATGAACGTTCATCTCCATCCCGAGACCTATAGTCCATAAGGGTACCACCCTTCTAGGGTTTTTGTTCTTCTCTTTGTCAGTGGGGACTTAGGACTGTGCCTGGCACAGGGCAAACCCTCAATATTTGTTGAACAAATAAATTAATAAACACATGTAAATGAATATTAGTAGAATACAACAAGAGTGACAGTAGGTGAAGGTGGAAAGCAAAGGTGGGAAGAGGTCAGGGCTCTGTGGATTCTGAGCTTCACTCTGCAGCGCTGGTGAGACGCGATAGGTTTTAGAGAAAGGAAGCCTCATGCTGGTGCCCCAGTGGTTACTGACTTCGTGTTTGTAGCCAAATCAAAGTTTTTCCCGTAAAGTCATCTATCTCTTTCCCAGATGTTGGGACTTGCAATGGCAATGGGAAGTGAGATACTGAGTAATTGAGAGATCAAGTATTTTGATCTCTCAAAATATTTTACTAACAAGGCATACAAAGTGATTTTTCACAGGCAGTGTTAACGTTTTTCTTTTTTATGTATAGTTTTAAAATTCTAAAAGTAACAAAATCACAACTACCAAACATTTAGACGACAAAAGTTATCCATAATCCCACCATCGTAACACAACCACTATTATCATTTTACTGTTTTCCTTATTCACATTTTCTACTTATTTTCTTAGATTCCAAGAAATAGAATTACTTGTTTAGAGGTTATTAACAATTAACATCTTATTTTTCTGGATATATATATTGCTAAATGTAATAACAGCAATGTCTGCAGTACCAATTTCTCAAATACTAATTTGCATTTCAATTTTTTTTTTTTGAGACAGAGGCTCTCTCTGTTGCCCAGGCTGGAGTGCAGTGGCATGATCTCGGCTCACTGCAACCTCCACCTCCCAGGTTCAAGTGATTCTCATGCCTCAGCCTCCCAAGTAGCTGGGATTACAGGTGTGCAGCACCACACTTGGCCAATTTTTGTATTTTTTAGTAGAGATGTGTTTTCACCATGTTGGCCAGGCTGGTCTCAAACTCCTGGCCTCAAGTGATCCTTCCGCCTCAGCCTCCCCAAGGGCTGGGATTACAGGCATGAGCCACTGTGCCTGGCCTGGCATTTCAATTTTTAAAATCTTCAGTAATAAATGAAAATTTTTATCTTATTGTTATAATTTTATGGTTTTTTATTTTTCATGAGAATAAACATTTTCCAAGTTTGTTTACTCACTGAATTTCTTTTTTCTGCATCTTATTCAGTATCATGGATACAATTTTGTCAATTTTCTGATTATATCAATGCATTCAGGGTCCCAAACCTGCCAAAGTTTAAAGGCAAAGATACTAAGGGAAAAACCAGGAAAAGATGGTAGAAAAGAATCACCCTGGCATTGTCAATCATGTAAACATTTGTCGGGTGCCCTAGCTGCAGGTATATGGCTCACTGAAACATGAATTCCAATTATAGGGTGAAATATATATTTAGAACCCTCTTTTGGAACTTCCATCTAGTTATCTAGCATCCTAAGTGCCTGGACATTCCTGATTGGTTTGCAATGTGTTTTATTTCCCATCCCCAAGTTTCACAGCTGCTGGCCCTGGGATTAACAGTCACAGGCTGTAACACAATGTCTTGCACATCCCGAGTATTGAATAAGCTTTTGTAGATGGATTCTTACCATCAACATCATCATGAAAGGCAAACATACAAAATTTGTTGACTAATGTAATGAGTCATGAGTGACCGAAGTGTATTGACCAAACACTACGTACATGTAGAGTACAGAATAAACACTTTATTATCACATCCGAGGAAAAGACCATTTTAGAAGCTCAACAACCCAGGAAAACTGTGAAGATTTCTTCAAATTGTTAAGAATATCCATGCATACAGGTTTCACATTATTTTGCTATATACAGTATCAATTTTTCCAAAAGCCAAGAGCATTTTATTCTATCACCCATCCTGGACATTTACTCCAAGAAAAAATACACTGAGTCTATAAGTAATTGATTAGTATTTTGATCATTGCTGCCTTTTTTTTTTTTTTTAAAGGTAAGAAGATCTAATGCATCCTATATCCAGTAAGTAGAATTATCTCTTCATCTGGGACCTGGAGATCCTGAAATAAAAAAGGATAATGCAATAAACGTAGTTGCAGGAAAGTGTGTTAGCTATATACTGTGAAGTACTCTTAGTTTACTTATGTTGAACGGCTTAGCTATTAATACTCAAATTGAGTTAAAATGAAAATTCCTTCTTAAAAAATGTAATGTAATATGTATTACATTTTACGGTACATTAGTAGTTCTTTGTATATTGAAAAAATACTAAATCACCTAGGTGTCTATGTTCTATCACATCGACAAACATGTCACTTTCTAATTAATAAAATGTTCTTCCATTAGTTTGCTTTTACACTTAAAATATATATAATTGACTTTCTGGGAAAAATATCTGAGATTCATTGCTTTGTTTCGTAAAAACCAATAGCTTCTGTGTAGTCTTTTTTTAAATTGTGGTAAAATATACATGGCATTAATTGACCATTTTAACCATTTTAAAGTGTACAATTTGTGGCATTAAGTACACTCACACTGTTGTGCAACCATCACCACTGTCCATCTTCAGAACCTTTTTATCTTCCCAAACTGAAACTCTGTGCTCGTTAAGCACTCACTTCCCATTTCCCCGTCCCCCAGCCCCCAGCCCCCAGCAACCACGACTGTACTTTCTATGAATTTGACTACTCTAGGTACTGCATGTAGGTGGAATCATTCAGTATTTGTCTTTTGTTTTGTTTTGTTTTTTGTTTCTAAGACAAGGTCTTACTCTGTCGCCCAGGCTGGAGTGCAGTGGTGCAATCATAGTGTCCTTTCGTGACTGGTTTGTTTCACTTAGTGCAATGTTTTCAAGGTTCATCCATGTTGTTGCATGTGTCAGAACTCCTTCCTTTCTTTGGCTAATATTCTTGCATAGATTTACCTAGTGTTGCTTATCCATTCAGCCACTGATGGACACTTGGGTTGCTTCCATCTTCTGGCTATTGTGAATAATGCTGTTTTCAACATGGGTGTACTACATAGTTACCTTTTAAAACTGACACAACAGTGCTGTCTTTTGACATACATATTTTATGGAAAACAGGGTTTTTCTGGCTGACGCTCAGCCTCATAATTTGGAGCTTGGTGCAACACAATAGGAGAGCTTTTTGTCAGTATATATCACTAAGGATTACAATGAGAGTACATATAGTCAGTATTTCAAATTATAAAAAAAAAAATGTAGGCTGGGCGTGGTGCCTCACACCTGTAATCCCAGCACTTTGGGAGGCCAAGGTGGGCAGATTACCTGAGGTCAGGAGTTCAAAACCAGCCTGGCCAACATAGTGAAACCTTGTCTGTATCTACTAAAAATACAAAAATTAGCCAGGCATGGTGGCGCATGCCTGTAATCGCAGCTACTCGGGAGGCTGAGACAGGAGAATTGCTTGAACCTGGGAGGCAGAGGTTGCAGTGAGTCAAGATTGCACCACTGTACTCCAGCCTGGGTGACAGAGCAAGACTCTTTAAAAAATAATAATAATTAAAAATAAATAAATAAATAAATAAATAAATAAATAAAATGTAATGAAAGAGAGAGAACTCTGAACTTTTAAAGAACTTTTCACCCAGTCTTGATCTATCTGATAGAAAGGCTTGTCAGAGAACGTTAGAGTTCAGAGGCAGCCAGCTGAATATAATTGACTCCAAATTGTCACGCACGTCCGTGTGAAGAGACCACCAAACAGGCTTTGTGTGAGCAACATGGCTGTTTATTTCACCTGGGTGCAGGCGGGCTGAGTCCGAAAAGAGAGTCAGCGAAGGGAGATAAGGGTGGGGCTGTTTTATAGGATTTGGGTAGGTAAAGGAAAATTACAGTCAAAGGGGGGTTGTTCTCTGGCGGGCAGGATTGGGGCTCACAAGGTGCTCAGTTGGGGAGCTTTTTGAGCCAGGAAAAGCCAGGAAAAGGAATTTCACAAGATAATATCATCGCTTAAGGCAAGGACCAGCCATTTTCACTTCTTTTGTGGTGGAATGTCATCGGTTAAGGCGAGGCAGGGCATTTGCACTTTTGTGATTCTTCAGTTACTTCAGGCCATCTGGGCGTATACGTGCAAGTCACAGGGGATGCGATGGCTTGGCTTGGGCTCAGAGGCCTGACACAAATGAAGATAAACCTTTTGTAAATCATAACTAAAGGCTATAAAAAATGATAGTTATATTATTTTTTTGAGACAGGGTCTTACTCTGTTGCCCAGGCTGGAGTGTAGTGGCATGATGTGGGCTCACTGAAGCCTTGACCTCCTTGGCTCAGGTGATCCTCCTGCCTCAGCCTCCTGAGTAGGTGGGACTACAGGTACCATCACACCTGTCTATTTTGGGGTTTCTCCATGTTGCCCAGGCTGGTCTCAAACTCTTGAGCTTAAGCAATCTGCCCGCCTCAGCCTCTAAAGTGCTGTGATTACAGGCATGAACCACTGCTCCTGGCAGGGAATTATTGATAGAATCCCGGGTTCCTCGGTGTGCAGTAAATCTCAAATACAGTCTATTTAACAATAGATTTTATATATTTGTTAGTGAAGGTGACAAAAAAAGTGATTAAGACAGCCTATTTTCTATCCAATGAGCTATCAAAAGCTTATAGGGTGGAAAGACAGTGGGGGAAGTCAGGCTCAAAGCAGCTAAGTGGAAAGAAGATTTTGCATGCAGGCTGACCTGGATTTTCATCGTGGCTACTATATTTTCTAGATGTGTGACTTTGGGCAACAAAGTCACTGATAACCTCAGTGTCATCTATAAGGTAATTTAAGGACACTAGTGCCCCGCTCATCTGTGGTTTTGCTTTGCAAGCTTTCAGTTACCCGAGATCAACCGCGGTTTAAAAATATGTGGAAAATTCCAGAAATACATAAGTTTTCAGTTGCAAGCCATTAAATCTCATGCCGTTCCTGCCCCCTCCTCTCTGGAGGTGGATGCTCCCTTTGTCCAGCGGCTCCGCAATGACTGCATTCCCCAAGTTGTTCTCTTAGGAACCCCTTCTGTGTTCAAGGAACCCTTACTTTACTTAATTATGGCCCCAAAGCACAAGAGCAGGGATGCTGGCATACTGTCATAATTGTTCTATTTTATTATTATTGTTGTTCATCTCTACCTGTGACTAATTTATGAATTCAACTTTATCATAGGAAGGTATGTATAGGAAAAAAAACATGGTATATATAAGGTTCAGTACTATCTGTGGTTTCGGGCATCCCCTGGGGGTCTTGGAACATATCCCCTGTGGATAAGGGGGAACTACTGCAGAAGTTTGTGTTTTATAGAGTAGTTGTGAGAACTACATTAATTCATAATGTGTGGTTCATGAGACTCATTGATAGATGGTAGTTGCAACAATAAAAAATTATATTACATGTAACTGATTCAGACTCTCAAAAACATTAATTTCCTGCTTTCTTTTACCTAAGTTTACCTACATGTTTGAGTTTGTAAAGGGGAGGTTTTTCTAGACCAATAATTTTCAAATGTTTTTGCTCTCTCATACTTCCTCAAAGGTAACTGAAAAAGTTGCAACATACTTGCATGTGATTTTTCTATATAAGTTGAAAGACTAGCAAATTGTTATTTTCCCATGCCTTGTAAATATTAGCAAGTCATCCCTCTTTAAAATGTACCAGAAGGAATCTAAATATCATTGCAATTTGACCCCGCATCATCCATTTAAACAAATATACAAGTTTTTCTTTAATAGCGGGAAATTGTATCTCATTCCATTTTCTCCTTAAGCTCTTATTTCAATCTACATTCCTCAGATAATTTTATCCTAATGTAGTATACTTTTATGCTTAAGTGTCTTTTGTTGATCAATAAAATACTGATTTTTAAATTTTAAAAATTAAGAATATCCTGTGCATCAAATTCCAGGTATGAAATATTTATTCTAGATCGGGTGATCATTGTAATTATTATTTGTACATTATTGATCAAAATAACATAAATATACTACAAATTTCTATGACTATTAAATATAAAAAAGTAAAATTTTAAACAAATATTTCTCTTAATGAGAAGGAAGAGCTTTTTATACTCCAATAAGTTAATGTATCCACTAATAATTATTATTTCTTCCTAGAACAAGACAGGATTAAGCATCGTGACCATCCCTATTGGGGGATGTTTTTATAGATGCAAGCACTGTGGCACCTACTGGCATAAATGCACCTGCTGATTGGATTGTTCTTTCCCCAGATCTTCCCTGCTGGTTTCTTCCCAGTATTCAGGTCTCAGCTCAAATGTGACTTCCTCAATGAGGCCTCCTGGTGATCAGATCTAAAGCACCCTCTACACAATCACTCTTCAGTGCTATACCCATTAATTTCCTATCATCACACTTGTCACTACCACACAGATCTTGTTTGGTTACTTTTGTAGTGTTTGTCACTGCCAGAATGTCAGTTCTATGAAGAAAAGGACTCTGTCTGTCTGGCTGTTTGCAGACATGAGGAAGGTACTATGATATAAATGTGTGTTAGTGAATGAATGAATGATATTTGTCTGAGAGAACCATTCATTCTAACCGACATTTATGGAGTAACCTCTTTGAAAAGAACCATTCTGTCTTTACTATCAAGTCAAGATACTCAAGAAAGGCAGCGGAAGAGGAAGGTCCATGTGGGCAGAGGAGCCTGGTCTTGAGATGTGATTTAGCTGGTATTTGGGTGGAACCAATAAACCAGCCTCAAAAATAACACAAGGGGCTGGGTGCAGTGGCTCACGCCTGTAATCCCAGCACTTTGGGAGGCTTGAGGCAGTCGGATTACTTCAGGTCAGGAGTTCAAGACCAGCCTGGGCAACATGGTGAAACTCCATCTCTACTAAAAATACAAAAACTAGCTGGGCATGGTGATGGGTGCCTGTAATCCCAGTTATTTGGGAGGCTGAGGCAGGAGAATTGCTTGAGCCTGGGAGGCAGAGGTTGCAGTGAGCTGAGATTGTGCCACTGCATTCCAGCCTGGGTGATAGAGAAAGACTCCGTCGAAAACAAAAAAAGAAAAAAGAAAGAAAGAAAAAAAATACACAAAGGTGTGCAATTGATGCAGGGCAGGTGAGCCTGGAATTGGGCTTAGCCCGGGAGGGTTCTTGGTTTTGCTCCGGAAAGAATTTAAGAGCTACCTGGTAGAAAAAGCTCGTCGCAGCTACAGCTCCCCAAGTGCTCCTGTAGAGCAGAGCTACCCTATAGGCAGTGGGCTGACAGCAGTAGCTCAAAGGCAGGTCTGCAGTCATATTTATAACCTACTTTCAATTACATGCAAATTAAGGGGTAGATTATGCAGAAATGTCTAGAAAAAGGGTGGTAACTTCCGGGTTGTTGGCTCATTGCCATGGAAAGGGGCAGTAAGCTCTGGGTGTTGCCATGACAATGGTAAACTGACATGGCACACTGGTGGGCGTGTCTTATGGAAAACTATTGCCCCATCCTTGTTTTGACTACTCCTCAATTTGGTCCCAAGTCAGAGCCCTGCCTCCAGAGTCAAGTCCCACCTACCTCACAATTATTATGTATCAGGTTTTTAAAAAGTAACACAAGGAAGGCTGGGCATGGTGGCTCACACCTGTAATCCCAGCACTTTGGGAGGCCGAGGTGGGCAGATCACTTCAGGTCAGGAGTTTGAGACAAGCCTGACCAACATGGTGAAACCCTGTCTCTTCTAAAAATGCAAAAAAAAAAAAAAAAAAATTATTTGGGCATGGTGGCAGGCACCTGTAGTTCCAGCTACTTGGGAGGCTGAGGCAGAACTGCTTGAATCCAGGCAGCAGAGTTTGCAGTGAGCTGAGTGCCACTGCACTAAAGCCTGGGGTGCAGAGCAAGATTCCACCTCAAAAAAAAAAAAAAAAGAATAACAGAGTAACACATGGAAATTAAACACAGACAATGTGCATCTGGAGCATCTGGACTGTTTTCAGCCTGGGATCTTGCTGGTGCTCCGAAACGTGTAAGGAAATGTGTAGGGAGTTTTCAGCCGGTGTGGGGTGGGGGAACGCCAACATATGGTTGGCTTTCCACAGTCCTGCTAAAAAGCCCTGCAATGTGCAGAACAAACCAGTCCAGCTAAGAAAAGTCCCACCCAAAATGCTGAGAGCACCTCTGTGCTCAATCAACAGTTGAGGCAAAAGGATGCTTTGCAAGTACATCACATGTATCAGTGCATTTTAAACTCATTATAAAATCGTTCTGTAAACCCAAAATAAAATTCTAAGCCCCAGAACCATCTGAAAAGACCCCTCCTCTGGGCCAAAGGCATTCCAAATTTAACCTGAAACACTAGTTCAGGCCGGGATGGGAATGGGAGCCAGACGTGCCTCATTATTCCCTCCTCCGTTTGGAATTTAGGCACAGCTGACCAGCATTGACATCAACACTGGCCTTAAGACAGGTAGAACACACTCTTTAAGTCTGACAAGAAACATTTACAATCTACAATCTATCTGTCTAAAGCCTGCTACTTTGAGGCTTAATCTGCATGATGAATCCTTGGTCTCCACAACCCCTTATCTTAACCCAGATATTCCTTTCTATTGATTCAAATCTTTTTTTTTTTTTTTCCCCCAGACAGCTCTGTCGCCCAGACTGGAGTGCAGTGGCACTTTCTCAGGTACTGCAACCTCCACCTCTTGGGTTCAAGCGATTCTCCTGCCTCAGCCTCCTGAGTAGCTGGGATTACAGGTGCATGCCACCTTGCCCAGCTAATTTTTGTATTTTCAGTAGAGACGGGTTTCACCATGTTGGCCAGGCTGGTCTCGATCTCCTGACCTCGTGATCTGCCCGCCTTGATCTCCCAAGTGCTGGGATTACAGGCGTGAGCCACCACGCCCAGCCTCCTATTGATTCCAAATCTTTAGATAACAATTCTTTCAACCAAATGTATAAAAAATCAAGTTGTAGCCCAACCACCTTGGGGACATGTTCTCAGGATCTCCTGAGGGCTCTATTACCGGTCATTGGTTACTCATATTTGGCTCAGAATAAATTTCTTCATATATTTTACAGAGTTTAACTCTTTTCGTCAACAGTTCCCACTCCCCAGTGTTAATGTTATAAACAATTCAGTAAAATTGGAAAATGTGGTCTATTAAAAATTTGGGGCCGATTGCGCCAGCACTTTGGAAGGCCAATGCGGGTGGATCACCTGAGGTGAGGATGTCGAGACCAGCCAAACATGGCGAAACCTCATCTCTACTAAACATGAAAAACAACAACAACAACAACAACAACAACATTAGCCGGGCGTGGTGGTGCGCCTCTAGTCCCAGCTACGCGGGAGGCTGAGGCAGGAGAATTGCTTGAACCCAGGAGGCGGAGACTGCAGTGAGCCGAGATCACGCTACTGCCCTCCAGCCTGGGTGAGAGAGCAAGGCTGTCTCAAACACAAAAAAAACCTTAGAAAAGCCCAGGCGGTTTTTTTTTTTTGAGACAGAGTCTTGCGCTGTCGCCCAGGCTGGAGTACAGTGGTCGAATCTTGGCTCACTGCAACCTCTGCCTCCCAGGTTCAAGCAATTCTACCTCAGCCTCCCAAGTAGCCACCACGCCCAGCTAATTTTTGTATTTTTAGTAGAGACGGGGTTTCACCATGTTGTCCAGGCTGGTCTTGAACTGCTGACCTCAGGTGATCCACCCACCTCGGCACCCCAAAGTGCTAGGATTACAGGCTTGAGCTACCGTGTCCGGCGCCCTGGAGGTCTTTAATCAAGTAAAAAAGCTGCATTATATCACTTGCTCAGGTTGCAAGCCTTCAGTGAGAAAGAATAAATGGAAATAGAAATCACTTATTGAAACAGATCTCAAATAGCAGTCTTGTTGATAAGACCGCAGGAAAACGTGGGAACTGTGCTGCTGGCTTAGAGAAGGCGCAGCGGACCAGACGGTTCCCCAGGGGAGCAGTCCCTCCGGGCCACCGCACCTGCATCCAGGTTCCCGGGTTTCCGAAGACTCTCAGCTGTTACCCATGGCTCCGTTCCGAGCCACACCTGTGGCTCCTGCGTTTCCCTCTGGCGCACGCGCTCACGAGCTGGGGCCGCGTGGACCCCGCCGAGCAGGAAGAGGCGGAGCGCGGGACCGCGGCTGGAAAAAAGCGCGCGGAAGGGGTGCTGCCACTGCACCACTTCGCCTGCCTCCGTCCCGCCGCGCCACTTCGCCTTCCTCAGTCCCGCCGCTCGCCGTGCCACTTCGCCTGCCTCTGTCCCGCCGCGCCATGCCCGTCGCCGGCTCAGAGCTGCCGCGCCCGCCCTTGCAGCCCGCCTCACAGGAGCGGGACGCCGAGCCACGGCCGCCGCACGGAGAGCTGCAGTACCTGGGGCAGATCGAGCACATCCTCCGCTGCGGCGTCAGGAAGGACGACCGCACGGGCACCGGCACCCTGTCGGTATTCGGCATGCAGGCGCGCTACAGCCTGAGAGGTGACGCCGCGGGCCACTGCGGGACCGGCGGCGGGAAGGAGGGAGGCACGGCTGGGGAGAGCGCCCGGGAGCTGGCGGGCGCTGCGGAGCCCGTTTAGTCCTAACCTCAATCCCGCGAGGGAGGGGACGCATCGTCCTCCTTGCTTTACAGACGCCGAAACTGAGGCTCCCATTAGAGACGTGACTGGCGTAGGGTAACACACAGGAGCGACAGCCGAGAGGTGAGCCGGGTCCCAGCGGCTCCACGGCCGTGGCTCGCAGTCACCCCAGAGATGCCGTGGCCCCTAAGGCGGGCATGATCGGGCAGCGTTTGCCCGGTGCTGGAGAGTGAGGGAGAGCTGCCCGGGCTTGACCGGGCGCTGATCTAAAAGTCCTGGCTTTTGCCCCTCCCCCTTCCTCCCCTGTTGAGCGTTCCGCTTTGCAGAGTTTTCAAAAACTGGAGCGAAAATGATGTGGGCGGGGCACAGGCGGCGGGAAGAGAGTTGAGGCTGGCGCGGGAACTTGGTTTCCTGGCGGCCTCCCATCCAATCCCCACGAACCAGCTTTTCTCTTAAACCTTGAAAAGAGAAATTCGGGAGTCCGAGTATAAGTTCTTATTCGTCCTTTCCTCTTTTCCTTTCAGACAGGATCACCCCAGGCAAAAACTAACTGCCTCGCGGGTTATTGGCGTCAGGCTTTCAGGGGACAGTGGGGCGGGGTGGGCACAGGACGTTAGGCAGCCGATGGCCCTGCCTAACGTCACACGGTCCTGTCATCCTGGATCCTGCGCCTGCTGCGTGGGGGAGGGGAGACTCCAAGGTGTGTAAGCCAGGGGCTGACCTTGACGTCTCAGATAAATGGAGCGCAGCCTTGACACAGGGTTGGAGGTGGTTTTGAGTGGGGAAACCCATTCTTGATGAAGCAGATTCACTGTGGTTAGGTAGGGGGAAAGCCCTCTAGCCCACGGAACCATCTAGAGACTGGAATACACACCAGCTGCTGTGGCTGATCCGCGTGGGGCAGCTTGGGGAGTTTTGTCTAAGCAGAGGGATCCACTTTTCTGCAGCTTCAAGGCCTTTGATAAGCTATAGACCTCACTTTTAACCCACCTTTCTGCTTAGACATTGAGCAAGTTACTTCTCTTTTCCTTTTTTTGAGGTGGAGTCTCACTCTGTCGCCCAGGCTGGAGTGCAGTGGCGCGATCTCGGCTCACTGCAACCTCTGCCTCTCGGGTTCACGCCATTCTCCTGCCTCAACCTCCCGAGTAGCTGGGACTTACAGGCGCCCGCCACCACGCCCGGCTAAATTTTTTGCATTTTTAGTAGAGACGGGGTTTCACCGTGTTAGTCAGGATGGTCTCGATCTCCTGACCTCGTGATCCGCCCGTCTCGGCCTCCCAAAGTGCTGGGATTACAGGCGTGAGCCACCGCGCCCGGCCTCAAGTTACTTCTCATACAGCTTCCCTATATGTTAAAAGTGGAGGAAATAATGCTCGGTAGGCGATTCTGATAAAAGCAGGTGCTTGCAAAAATCTCTGTTGTCTGAATATCAGCTATACCACAAGAGAGTGTGGGATGAACGAGTACTGCATTTAAAGATAAGTTTTTACACTTTTATTTCTCTGTGGCTCGACACTTCTGATGCCTCCCTTTTTTTCCCTGGGACACAGGCTTGGTGTTGTCTTCACACCTTTGTGACAGCATTAGCACTAGTGGGCAGTGGATAGTAGCTCCTCCCTTTTTCCACATGGTCATCCCTCCTCTTGCCACCATCTCACTGTGTGGAATTCCTGTGTCCAGTGGTCACCGGGGCACAGAGGTGCTGTCTCAGCCTGAACTGGGTTACTGATGTGCCTTGCAGCCTGGCAGCTCCACCCTGATCTCTGGCCCACTTTGCGGGAGTCTAGGCTTTCTGGATGCTCCAGGGCCTCGTGTCCCAGGGCAGCTTTCTTCCCTGAAGAAAGTTGGATGGCATGATCTGTCTTCCTCTCTTGAAACTGTGTGGCAAATTGTTTTTCAGATGAATTTCCTCTGCTGACAACCAAACGTGTGTTCTGGAAGGGTGTTTTGGAGGAGTTGCTGTGGTTTATCAAGGTAAAGAAGTCGCTACTATTAGAAGTCATTAGTCTGTTTTCAACACAGCAGCCAGTGAGATCCTTTCAAAAGTCAAAGCAGCCAGGTGTGGTGGCTCTCGCCTGTAATCCCAGCACTTTAGGAGGCTGAGGCAGATCACCTGAGGTTAGGAATTTGAGACCAGCCTGGCCAATATGGCGAAACTCCCATCTCTACTAATAACACAAAAAATTAGCCAGGTGTGGTGGCACACGCCTGTAATCCCAGCTACTCAGGAGGCTGAGGCATGAGAATTGCTTGAACCCAGGAGGTGGAGATTGTAGTGAACTGAGATCGTGGCACTGCACTCCAGCCTGGGCGACAGAGGGAGAACTTGTCTCAAAAAAAGACAACACAAAAGGTCAAAGCATATCATTCCTCACCCTCAAGCTCTTAGTGGCTCCATTTCACTCAGTAAGAGCCACGGTCCTTATGGGGTCCCTTTTCAGCTCTGGCCTTAGCTGCTGCTCTCTACACCAGCCCTGCTGTTCCTGTGAGTTTTTGAGCACACCGGGACATCCCCGCTCCCTGGAACCTTCTTCCCCCACACTTGGCTCCTTCCTTTGAGTCTCTACTCAGGCAAGCCTTCCTAGACCTGATTTAGAACTGTGACTCTTCCCCCACCTCCTTGGTTTTCCTCCATAGACAAACGTCACCATCTGATGTATGTCAGCCTTTCCCCTCCCCTGTTAGAAGGGGGACGGCAGACAGTAAATCAGTGAAATGTGCTGTAAGCTTTATGAGGGCAGAGGATTTGTTTCTCGTGTTCACTATTGTATCCCTAGGGCCTCAAACACAGCCTGCCACATAGCAGGAGTCAATATGTATTGATCACTAAATATAGATACCATCTGTGTTCCCATGTTCATATAAACTAGAAGAGTCTCTTCAGTAACAAGGTGAACCCCTTCCAGAGGGCTGAGTAGGTAACCTCAGGCCGGGGCCAGAGTGCTCTGAAGACAGGCAGCAGCCCAGCCCAAGCTCCTCTGTGTTCTGTGTCCTGGTCTAGAACCAGCAATGTTCTGACCAGTGCTTTTTGGAAGGTAGCTGGAGTCTGGGCTCAGGTCTGGGCCATGCTAGAAGCTAGGATCCCTTCTGTAGAGCACTTGGTGTGGCTTGTATGGTCCTGGGGCAAGCCAGACCCAAGCCCGCTTATCCCATTTTAGAAAGTGCTTAAATTTGGATCCAGCCCCAGTCTGCCTTAGCTCTGTATTCTTGGGGTATTTTGTTCTGTATTGGCCTGTCTCGACCGACAATGAGCCTTGGATTTGAAACATATCATCAGAAACCTCAGAAGATGACATTCTTAAACTGGCTAGAGCCTGGTCTGAATGGATGAAAAGGAGAGACTTTTGAAGCAATATGTAAAAGACTGAGAAATGATTTGTTGGGAATAAAGAAAATCGGGACAAACTCAACAATAGAAAGGGAGGAAGCAGGAGACTCAGGAATAAAATGCATTCCCCTGTTTCAACTTAATGCTTGAATTCAGGATTCTAAGAAGTCCTTGCCAGGAACATCAGACTCACCTCTGATAGTCATAGTCAGAGTTACTCCATTGGCGACTCGATCAATATAGGAGTTGATGCACCTGTACTGTAAAATACTGATTAGTCTGATCATTAGGAATATCCTGCCAGGTAGCAGATACACAGAACAGATTGCATGTAGACATTAAATTCGTTTTGGGATATCACATGTAGACAACACATTTGATTAGGAAACAAAAAACTGTCAGATCGGTGGATATCACTTAGAGGTGTTTAGTCTAGAAAGCTTAGTTGGGGGGAATGGAAGAAAAGATCTGAGAGGGTGGTTCCAAAGAAGGGATCAGACTGTCCTAAAGCCCTCAGGAATCTGGGCTGAGACCAGCCTGCTTAAAGTTAGGATGGGCAGCTGGGCGCAGTGGCTCACACCTGTAATCCCAGCACTTTGGCAGGCCAAGGTGGGCGGATCACCTGAGGTCGGGAGTTTGAGACCAACATGGAGAAACCCCATCTCTACTAAAAATACAAAATTAGCCGGGCGTGTTGGCGCATGCCTGTAATCCCAGCTACTCGGGAGGCCGAGGCAGGGGAATCACTGGAACCCAGGAGGTAGAGGTTGCTGTGAGCCGAGATCACACCATTGCACTCCAGCCTGGGCAACAAGAGCGAAACTCAAAAAAAAAAAAAAAAAAGGATGGGTTTCATATGGGTGATGTCTAGGTGCCCACCTCCCACAAGTCAGCAGGGGCCAGAGGCCCTTGTAGGTGGGGTGGTCTTGGGGATCCGAACTGAGATGGCTCCAGGATTACTTGGGGGACATGGCCTGCTCTGCCCTCCCCATCTCTTCGCAGGGATTCCACGAAAAATTGCTAAAGAGGCTGTCTTCCAAAGGGAGTTGAAATCTGGGATGCCAATGGATCCCGAGACGTTTGGACAGCCTGGGGTTCTCCGCGCAGAAGAAGAAGTGGGGACTTGGGTCCAGGTTATTGGCTTTCCAGTGAGGGCATTTTGGGGCGCCAGAACATACCCAGAGATATGGAATCAGGTGAAAGGAGACAGAACAATGCCGTTTCCATTTCCTGAGTGCCCTTGCCTGGCATGTGTTTTGCTCTGTTGTTTTAGAATAAGGTCTGGGGGATGAGTCAGTGTCCCAAGAGCTGATGTATAGCTTTGACCTTGTGAGGGGTGTGGCCAGTGCTAGCCACAATTAAGCCTCATGAAGGCCATTTCACACTTTTTTTTTTTATTTTTTTTTTTTTGAGACGGAGTCTGCTCTGTGGCCCAGGCTGGAGTGCAGTGTGGTTGGTGACCCTACAGCTCACTGCACA